CTGATAGTGTTGTTAGGAGATGGAATGCTGTATCTAAGAAAACAAAAATTCCATTAGATGAATTTATGATTGCCTTTCGCTTTGTTCTAAATTCGACCGTTTTTATTTTTAACAATAAACATTATAAACAAATTTTTGGAACCCCCATGGGATCACCATTATCACCAGTGGTCGCCGACATTGTTATGCAAGATTTTGAGGAAGTTGCAATTAAATCATTATCTGTTAAGCCATCCTTTTACTATCGTTACGTAGATGATATTATTCTTGCGGTCCCTGCCGAGAGTATTAATTGCATTTTGGAAGGTTTTAATTCTTTACACACAAGAATTCAGTTTACCATAGAAGTTGGTAATGATAAAATAAGTTTTTTAGACACTTTGATTTCAGGTGAAGAAAATAGATTGATTTTTGATAACTATCGTAAAGCCACATTTTCGGGTAGATACCTTAATTTTCATTCTCAGCATCCTTTGTGTCATAAAAGAGGAGTAGTGTATGGAGTGGTTGATAAGATAATTCTTTATTGCCATCCTAGGTTTCAACGGAACAATTTGATTGACGCGATTAATAATTTTTAAAAAAATGGATACCCCCTGGATTTTATATTTTCGACTGTTAATAGTAGATTAAAATTTCACTTAATCAACACAAATTCCGTTAATAATAATGTTGGTCTCAAAAAGTTTTTTTACTGTTCTTTTTGTAAAATAAATTTCAGAAAAATTTACACCTATTGCCAATTCTGTCAACTGCAAACTCGCGTACACTATTCCTAATACACTTAAAAGCTATATTAAGAGAGGTAAAGACAAACTGGAACATACGCAAAATCGTAATGTTGTATATAAAATTTCGTGTAGTGATTGTGATGCAAGTTATGTTGGGCAGACTAAGAGGCAATTAAAAACTAGACTCAATGAACACATTTCGGATATCAATAAATTATCAAAGTCTCCATCAGTTGTTACTAACCATCGAATAGACAATAATCATAATTTTAATTGGAATAATGTGGAAGTATTAGATGTGGAACCTTCCTACAAAAAGAGGTTGATATCCGAAATGGTTTATATTAAAAAACAGACACATGGCATAAATAAACAAAACGATACGGAGTCATTGCCCGATATGTACACAAATATGATACAGTCCTTCCCTACCTCTTAGACTGTTTTCAGTTGGTTTTTGCCTCTTTTAAAGAATTTGTTTCTTCACTGCGTTTCTTGATATTAACATAAGAAGTCGATAAAGCTGTAAATTGGATTAAATCTGAATTGTTATAACATTTTATCATTGACGATATTGCATTTTTTATCTATACATTATGGAATTTTACATTATTGACATTAGTTATTACACAATTTTTAACAAAGTAACTATCCTTTAACACTTGTTTAACATACTATTTAAGATTCTTATGACAAATTATATAAATTTTATTAGATTGAATTTACTATATTGGATTAACTTTTACATGATGGACTACAATTTCAAGATGCGAATAATTTCCTGACATTATCTATTGATTAGCGACACCGAAATTTTATAATTTATTTATGTTTATTACACTGAAGATGACCCGATCGGAGTCGAAACGTCTGTATTAAAGTTTAAATTTTATATTATACTTAATTTAAAAAATTTTTCTTGCGTTCAGTATTTGGCCCATTGCCCTTATTATTACTCATATTGTTTTATACTTATTAATTTTGTACTTTTATAGCAATATTAAACTAAAATATAATACATTCAGCTCCAAAAAGAGTGGTACACTATAAATTTAGGAAAAATTGATCAAACTTCAGATGATCATTACTTGATAAATAATGAAGATAAAAATATGTTTAAAAAAGCAAAATTAAGTTTGAAATGTCCACTTTAAGATTATTTGAATGAGAATTACACTAGGCCATTATTTTTAAAACGTCGAATAACAAAGTAAAAACATGCAAAATTGATTATCAAAGATCCAACTTTGTGATGGTGCATGGTGTATATCGAGAATTGGACTATTTGCGCCAAAAATTAACGCTCGTATCAAGTCAATTGCTCGTTACCATGGACGGCATAAATAATAGTATATCCATTCATTTTTCTAATAACCGTAAACGATCAGTCTAGGTATACTATTGTCTACGTTTGCTACTGATGACTGACACGCCAAGCCAATCAAACGGCTGCGAATAAAGTCACTTGATTTATAGGTTCCTTACTACCAGCAATGAAAATATAAGGCCTGTTATTTTTACTGAACTGATGCATAGAGTGCAATAAATTGAAGTACAACAGATATACGTTTGTTTCATTTCAACTTATTTCCTGGCGAAAATATAGCCAAACGCAATCGAAGCATAGATCGGAGCGCAGATAAAACATAAAGACAATGTTATGAAAGTGTCATCAAAATTTTTGAATAGCGTAAATTGGAACATCACAATGTTAGGGAAATGTTTACTAAATGTTAACAGAGAGTTATTTTACTCCTCTGGTAGAGTACACCGAAAGTAAGAAAACGTTAATTAAGCATTAAAGCTATAAAATCCTGACACTTTATTAACGCTTCATCACTCTCCATGTACACTTGTGTTAATGTAACGTCATACAAGCGTAACGTAGATCGGAGCGTAAATAAAAAGTGAAAGAAGCGTTACATGAGGAGGTATGATAATACTGACGCTTCATTAACGCGTGTTATTTCACTTTTCTAACGTACACCGAAAGTAACAGACTATTAAGATTATAGAATTCTGACGTTTTATTACTCGCTATGTACTTTAATCCTGGCGTAAATGTAGCGTTAGCAAGCGTAAACGGAATGTAGATCAAGCATAGACAAAGCATGAATGAAGTTTACCTCTCATTCAGGAATTGTTTTCTTATTTTTCTAAGCGGTCACCTATCCAATCATGTACGACGGTGCTGAAACCATGCAATCGTACGGGCACTGCTACTTTGATGATCCACGAACACTCAATGCTAGTGGATCCTATGTAGAAACTTAAGTAAGATTCCGGACGATTTTAATTACGCTACTTCTACGTTCCAAAGATTGGCATTTCTTACTCATGGTTCATGAAAAGTGCGACACTTCCGGACACTTCATGAAAAGTATATGAAACGTAGCGTTACGCTCCTTCTATGCTTCAAAGATTGAAAATGTTGTACTCTCTTAATTTAAACTTCCCGAAAACTCCATGAAAAATGCGACAAATGTTGCGTTATGCTACTTCTACGCTCCAAAGATTGGCATTTTCTACTCATGGTTAACACTTCCCGAAGACTTCATGAAAAGTGCACGAAATGTGATGTTACGGTCATTCTATGCTCCAAAGATTAACCTTATTGTACTTTTGGTTTACATTTTTCACACCCTTCGTGAAAAGTGCGCGAAACGGTATATTACGCTCTATAAAAAACGCAAGCGATATGCGATAATTCGCGCATCTTTCACGAAGAGTTCGAGAAATGTAAATCAAATGAAGATATATCAAGTTGGAACGTAATGCTACGTTTCGCCCATTTTTCATAAGTGTTTGGAAAATGTAAACCAAAAGTACAATAAGGTTAATCTTTGGAGCGTAGAAGAAGCGTAAACGTAACATTTCGTGCACTTTTCGCCTTCGAAATTAGGACAAATCCGGGGAAGTCCGGATGGATGGCAGCCCTAAATCCAAGAATCGTCTGTAAGAATCACTGAAGAAGGACGTGTGAGTTCCGAAACGTACGGCACTATAGTTAGTTTTATGTTCTCATATATATTATAAAATTTGAAAACAACATTGAATTAATTTAGCTCGATATAGACCGTTTATTTATTTTATTTTTAAATTAAATTTTGTTTTTTTCTGAAAACATCATTTTTTTATTATTTTTTCTTGCTAATGCAAAATGTTGACTCAACAATAATGTATATGGTATATGCATCACGTATATTTATGTATATAGTTACGTGTAGTTACAAAAATTTTCGTATGTTTCACGAATTTTTATACAATGAAAAATTAAAACAATTAAAGACAATAGAAGACAATACTCAGTAGGGTAGTAACTGACTAATATTATATTGTAATAAGTGTTCCTTATATTATTCTACAGGTTTCGCGATTCCAATTATAGACAGCGATAGATAGTTTTGTAAAATCGTTCTACTAATTGTAAGTGTTTCCTACTAATTTTTCAAATATAGTTTGGTTTTTTGCACTCCAACTTATTTCGAAGTTGTATTAAATGTCTAATCTCTTGCCTGGAAATTTGAATAAAAATATCTAGAAAATCCAGGAATTTTTTCAGGAAATTTTTTTACAAGATTTTAGTAAACACCCTGTTTAATATTTAGTAAATGTCTCGATTTATATTGTTCCTGCATTTACTAATATTGTTTTTATAGAATTTGATGTCGAGGAAATATGATCAATGCATGTTCCGTTGGTCCAAGAGAATCCTCGGGCCAAATTAACGACTAACTAGAACACTGATTGATATTATATGAGAAGAAATTGAATAATATAGCAGAGAGTGTTATTAACATCCTCAGTTATGCTTATTTTACGCGACTGTATAGCCAGAACATGACATCGTCGCAACTGTAGCTGCAGTCTTCCTTTGAGCAGGCAGGTGGTTTGGCGTTCAATCCTTCGCGGATGCAAATACTAAACTTTAGTACGCGAGAGTAAACTCTGTTTGTTGGTACGGGCAATGTTGATTTTATATACACTGTAAATTCGTACGAAATAATAATAATAAGCGATATTGTTCCACTAGAAATTGTGCAATTTGCCATCGATGTGTATCATGACAGTTTTTACTGCAAATTCGAAACAAATTTTGAAACAGTAAACAAAGATTGTAAATCTAAATACTGAAATAAAAATATTTCATATGTTCGCAGAAGATTGCAAAAGTTTAACATGCCATCATGAAGAATGAATTCCTCTTATACGAAGCATGTTTCGCTTATTAATATTGTTTATCTCCGTCCGTGTCAGGATAATGTCGGTGTTTTTAGATTCGCAAATTCTTCAATAAGATCGGCGAGTAACGAAATATGATCGCAACGACTTCGAAGACAAACAGTGAGAGCGAGATCCAGGAAATAAATTGTTTAAAATGATCGAGAAAGTTAAAAGAAAAGCTCGCTTTATATAGCACTGACGATAGTGTCGCGATGTCGTTGAGCCATGACGCCAACCTGGCAGCTGTCTGCGCTCGATCTCGGACTGATGTTACACTCGACCATGGAACCGTTCCGCTTTTGCACCACCACTGAACGGAATTCGCCGCACTCACTGGTTGACGGCTGATTGCCTCGCGCGCGTGCCCCCTTCGTGAGGATCCTCTTGAATGCCTCCCGGAATTCAGTGTTGAAAATGCTGTAGATTATTGGGTTGAAGGCCGAGTTACTGTAACCGAGCCACGTGAGAACCTATTGGGAAGGAAAAAACGACTTTGACATATTTTTACATCGAAAATCAGAAAAATCCATAAACATAAAATTGTTCTATGTGTACGAGAAAATTCTCACATTTCCTTAAAGGGAGCAATTTTATAATAGCAGTTCCTAAAATATCTTTGAACATTTTGAGATTGATTCTGAATGAAAGATTTACTGTATGTCGTTTAGACTCAACGAGTTACTTCCATTCCTTGGGTCTAAGCGACATAGAATTGTCTAAGTGACAGTAAATCTTTCATTCAGAATCAATCTTTATTAATTATACGACAGCTATAAATGTGGTTGTAGGACATTGAATGTTTTTATTTAATACAGGTTTTTATTTAATACACGCGTACAAGCTGCATTTAGTTTAACATAATCTGAACATCGTACACATTTGTTCTAATTGAGCTGTGTAAAAAGCTTTACTCTGTTAAGCTGTACATTTCTGTGTACATTTATGTCGAGCAATTCGAAAACACCCCTTTTTGCAAAACCTTTGTTATACAGGGTGTCCCGACTAACCGGAAAATATTACATGAACAGGTAGAGCGGACTGAACTGAGTCGAAAATTCCTCTACCGTTTTGCAATTTTCGTAATAGTCAACGAGATAATAATTGGTAAAAATTACCGAATACGTGCGTCCGCCAGGCCTACTACTGCCAACAGTGTACGCCCATAATAGCTCGATGGCGCGCGGACCGCGGAGAGCGGAGACTGCCTGGCAAGCGTCTCACGCCGCGCACAACGCCGCGCGCCCCAATCGTCGTGATTCAGACAGCGGCGGCAGTCCCCGCTCTCCGCAGTCCGCGCGCTATCGAACTATCATGGGCGTACACTGTTAGCAGTAGTAGGTCGAGCGGACGCACGTATTCGGTAATATTTATCAATTATTATCTCATTGACTATTGAGAAAATTGTAAAACGGTAGAGGACTTTTCGACTCAGTTCAGTCTGCTCTACCTATTCATGTAATATTTTCCGGTTAGTCGGGACACCCGTATATTTTAATTATAACGTTATAATTTCTTTCTATCAAAATATTTGATTTACAGCTAAAAGTACAGATTATAAGTAAAAATATAGCTGTAATATAGATTATGTGTATTTCTTAATTTTCCTTTTAATTTCGAACTTATATCGTGATTTTCAGATAGTCCTATACAATCATATATAATCTTCTAGTTTTCTACAAAGTAGAAAAAAATTCCTGAAATATTTTAGCTGTCAACTGCTGTAGCGATCCTGAAGTGATCTTTGACAGCTGACAAATATATACATTATTTCAGCAATTATTTTGCACTTCTATCTTCTATGTGATACATCGGACATATGTATACCTCAGTTTGCTGCATATTTTACAGTTTTTAGAATTACGAAATTGTGTTTAAAGAAAAATTAAAAAATAAAACTATACACACTGTCAGTGTTATACATGCTATATATTAGGGTGGCACTTAGGACCAAAATTTTTCTTGACGCCCCCCAAATTGACTCCAAAAAATTCAAAAAAAATCACTGAATTTTTGCAGATTTTTATCTTTACTCCTAATGGCTCCCCCAGAGCCCCGTAAATTAACATTGTTTTTACATAAGAAAACAATTTTTTTCAGTATTTCTACTGGCATTTTTAACGCAGTCGGTCTAAAAATCTACCAAGTGAGATATCTTTTCTTGGATGATTTCCGAGTGCAATGAGCCTAGTCCGAGCAAAAACGATCCATTTCCGGCCGAGTTATTCCACTTTGAACTTTAATAATTTTTCACCCAAAAAATGAGAAGAACCTAAAATCTCTCAATAAAATTACAATAGCTCTGTTAGAATGCATTCTAAAATTATGAACCATTGAATTTCGAATTCCTTATAGTTTTCCGATTAAAATGACCACCTTATAAGTTAAAAACGACAATTTTTAGCTGAGTAGTAGCATTTTTTATGAAGAAATTTTTTTTAGCTAAAATCTGGTAAAGGAAATAAATTTTTAATTTATTCACTACAACTCGAAAAAGAAAATCCGTCGATATTACACCATAGACGAACGTTTTACCCACCTTTTTCCGGTTTGAATTGCTTACTTATTGACCTAGGAAAAAAAAATTCTGACATAGAAGAGGTCGTTCGATTTTTTTTTTTTCTCTTAAACGCTTGAAATCTAGAAACAGTCATTTTAATTTATTTTTATCGTTTAAGGCTTGCATATTTCTTTAACTGTAATAATTTTATTTTCTGTACCAGTTTTAGACTTTCTCATGATATTCCGTAAAACGCGAGTTGTATAAATCCATTTCATAGCGTGTTCCAAAAGCTCATTTGCTTCCCCCATAAGAATAATGTGCATTTTCATAAAAATTGCAAAAGAATTAATTTTTTATCACACATTATTTTTATTGTATGAAAAATTTTTTACTCATAAGAATTTCTGTAGTAAATCTTATTTAGTTAATAACTATAATAAAGTAGCATATAAATGAGAAATTAACATTTTTCCTAGAAAGTACATTTACTACAGAAATTCTTACGAGTAAAAAATTTTTCATACAATAAAAATAATGTGTGATAAAAAATTAATTCTTTTGCAATTTTTATGAAAATGCACGTTATTCTTATGGGGGAAGCAAATGAGCTTTTGGAACACGCTATGAAATGGATTTATACAACTCGCGTTTTACGGAATATCATGAGAAAGTCTAAAACTGGTACAGAAAATAAAATTATTACAGTTAAAGAAATATGCGAGCCTTAAACGATAAAAATAAATTAAAATGACTGTTTCTAGATTTCATGCGTTTAAGAGAAAAAAAAAATCGAACGACCTCTTCTATGTCAGAATTTTTTTTTCCTAGGTCAATAAGTAGGCAATTCAAACCGGAAAAAGGTGGGTAAAACGTTCGTCTATGGTGTAATATCGTCGGATTTTTTTTTTCGAGTTGTAGTGAATAAACTAAAAATTTATTTCCTTTACCAGATTTTAGCTAAAAAAAATTTCTTCATAAAAAATGCTACTACTCAGCTAAAAATTGTCGTTTTTAACTTATAAGGTGGTCATTTTAATCGGAAAACTATAAGGAATTCGAAATTCAATGGTTCATAATTTTAGAATGCATTCTAACAAAGCTATTGTAATTTTATTGAGAGATTTTAGGTTCTTCTCATTTTTTGGGTGAAAAATTATTAAAGTTCAAAGTGGAATAACTCGGCCGGAAATGGATCGTTTTTGCTCGGACTAGGCTCATTGCACTCGGAAATCATCCAAGAAAAGATATCTCACTTGGTTGATTTTTAGACCGACTACGTTAAAAATGCCAGTAGAAATACTGAAAAAAATTTTTTTCTTATGTAAAAACAATGTTAATTTACGGGGCTCTGGGGGGG